TCCCTGCAAGGCTGAGAAAACTCCTGCCTTACAGCCTAGAAAGAAACTGCCACTCAGAACCAGCAGTGCGAGGCTAGATGAGCCTACAGTCTGACTTGGGAGAAAGCACCCTCTTGGGTTCCTATCTGCCCATTTCATTATTCACTGTATCCAGAATCAGTGGGTTGGCAAATATTTAACATTCCTGGACTTCCACCCATAGTTCAAAGTTTAGGAGTATGCCATTGGCTCTTATACACATGGAGGTGGGTAGAGACCTGTTTTCCCCTGCAGAGGAGGGCAGGATGCATTCCAGTGGAGCGAACTCAGGGAACCAAGGTTCTGTTTGGATGCCAAGAGTTACTTCCTGATTGTTAGGACCCATAGGGCATGGAATGAGCTTCCATGGAAGGTGGTTGAAGACCCATTGGTGAGGGTGTTCAAAGATAGGCTGGACATGCACATGGTAGGCATGTCATGAGCCGAGCCAGAGCTGGGGGTCAGACTAGATGGCCCAGAAGAGCCCTTCTGACTCACTCTGTTTCTATGTTTCTATGCACACACCCTTGCACTTCTCCCTTCTAGCACATGGAAGCCCTATACTGCTTTAACCATGTTGTACTCTTTTACGCGCTATGCATCAGTGCTAATAGTAGTGATTAACATTAGCCAAGCTTGCCTTCATAATTGGAATTTTTAACTAGGATTTGGGCTTGAATCCCCTGGATCAAGGAGAGGCATATGAGAGAGTACGTGAGCCTGCACATCTAATCAGTGTTGAAATCAATAACGTTGCATCCTTACCGGCCAACTCAGTAGAAATTCTTGTTTCATTATGAGTTTTGCCCCTTCTTGAATGTTACACAGAGTTATTGAGAATTTAAAAACTATAGCAGGTGAGATGGTTTTAATCAGCTCTACAGTGTAGTAGAACAGAGGAGTAAAATTAAGATATTTCGTTTTTAATTGCAATGGCATGGTGAGGATATAGAATTCTATTTAATTCATAATGGGTTGACCAATATGACACCTCTTTTGCTATGAATTTCAACTGCCTGCTTAATCTGTGTCAGGCAAAGTTGACCGTCTGAAATATACATTCAGCCAGTTTACATGGATTACATTGCTGTTTTTCAAATGCACACTGCACGTTTTCTATAGAACTGGAAAATATCCCTACCAAAATTACATGCTCTGTTGTGGAATATGCCGCTGTACTAGATAAAGGGTCTTCCTGCACTTTGACGCACTGATCATGAGTTCTATATTTAGGATGCTGAAGTTACAAGCATCTGTGTCACCTGCATATTAATAGCCTGCCACGTTCTTCTGTATGCCAATGAGTTTGAATCTGGGTGCTGCTGGGAAATTGCTGTCCCTTTCAATATTTCAACTTGATCATGAATTATTACTTACATACTTTGCAAAATGAAATAACTGATTTATAAATGATATACTGCATAATGTGCAGTAACTGGCTGTTGTGTGTGATCATGCCATATGATGCATTCGCACTACAGCTGTGTCAACGGACTCATCTACTCTTCCCAGATGTAGAACAAAGATTCAGATGGTATAGAAATTAACAATCACCCCTCCTTCAACAAAGCATTGTATTATCTTCTATTTATTTGGTTATTTTAGAATGACTTAGAATGATATAGCACTTAGAATATGTCTACCATGAGATTCGTATGCATTGAGAATTTCGATACTACCATTGGCATTCTGTAAATAGTAATTCCAGGGTACCTTGTTCCAAGAATGACACACATATATATATATATATATATATATATATATATATATATATATATATATATATTTGGCCTATCTGTGGAATGATGTGACTGACAAATTTGTTTCTAGATCATTGTTTGTAGGTTGTAGGTTTTAGGATGGTGTCTAACCATCTATTTATGAATTAAATAAAAAAAAATAAAATCTCTATTTAAGAGTGGAATACATTTAATCCCCCCTAAAAATGACATAGTACACTGTCATGTTGAAATTCCAGCACAGGGACACAAATATTTAGATATGCATCATTGAAAGAACATATGGAAATTAATAGGGCTTACATCCGACCAACATTTGTATTGCGCATATAGGATCATATTTCAGAGAGCATACATTTGGCTGAATGATGCAGTTAATATTTTAAAGCTCTTTTAAAGTTGCATTTGGCAAAGCAATATCTTTAAAGCAAAGATATTTTTAATTTTCTGTTCAGCCTGATCCTATATACATTGTTTTACATGTAAGTCATTCTAAATCTATTTGGGTTTATTTCTAAGTGAATGTGTGTAGGATTAGGATCTAAGCTTTCTACTAAAAATATTTTTTGCCAAAATCTGGGACACTCTCAATCATCAAAAGTAGAATAAGTACTAATAGTAAATAGTAGTGCTTTCTAATGGCATTCACAATCCATGATAATGCTAAAGGGGCTCTATCCAAATGTGTCCCTCGGCCAGTGGAACAGCCCTGATGGAATAGATTCACCAGCTTCATCCCTCCAGTTCCCCCTGGAGGGCTAGAAGACCCTCAAGGCACATCTAGGAAATATGCAAAAGCTGCAGAGGAAGGAAAAGTTGCAATGTGCGGGTGGGAGTTTTCCTGCACCTTGTTGTCTGGCTTGAATTTGTAGTAGTAAATTCTGGAGCAGACCAATATCCCTGTCCTTAAATGACAGTGAGCATTGGAAGGCAAACCTTTACAATAATAGGAGACTAAAAATGTTGATCATGCTCTTAGAAAGTGTTCCTAGTACAAAAGAAAATCAATGCTTGCTGCTTGACTTTGCTCACATCTTTTGTTATCTGTAAACACCAACAGGGCTGATCACGATTTTGCTTTGCTGAAAATGCAAACCGAAAGAGGATCATTATTTTTCTATAAATATCAAAGAGGCATCTGTTCCTATTTTCATTTTATGCCCAGCACACCTGAAAATCATTCAGTTCTGACTGTGGAGCTGGCTACCCATTTCCCATTTTTTAGCAGAGTCTTATTTCCCATACTAGCAATCTTGCAGAGAGGAGGAGGGGGTTGCATTCAAGCAAATGCTTATTCTATAGAATGCAAGAGTACACTTTTCATATACTTGATTTAATCTGAAGAATTATTGAAAAGGTTATTCAGGCGCCCAGAATCATTACTTATGCTACTTCTGCATCAAAAAGAGCACAAGGAGATCTTGTATTGGCACTACTGTGGGACCTCAGGCCAATTTTGCAAAATATAAGTTTAACATAGAAACAGAGAAACAGAGCGAGTCAGAAGGGGTCTCCTAGGCCATCTAGTCTGACCCCCTGCCCAACACAATAAATAAATAAATAAATAAATAAATAAATAAATAAATAAATAAATAAATTCAAATGCTGCTTATATGGGAGAGAATAAGAATTGCAATGGTATAATATTTGAGCCATCTGCCTCATAACAACAACAGCAACAGCAACAACAACAACAACATTATTTCTAGACCACCCACAGTTGAAGCTCTCTGGGCGGTTCACAGCATTTAAGTCCCATTTCAACCAGCCCCAACCCTGCTTGGCTTCCAAGATTAGGCAAGATCAGGCTATATGAAAGCTTGCTGTAATCTCCACCTCTGATGAAGAGTGCTCAGAAACTGATGCCACACAAGAAGCCCCTATTCTTGATGACATGATCCACACCTGTACCAGGATTGCTGCCTCTGTAAACAGCATTGGGGCCAGTGCATGTATTAAGAAAACAATAGAGGAAAAGAAGTGGTCGCCCATTGCTACACAGAGCTTGTGACACTTGCACAAAGCCACTATTTATCAAAGGGAGATGATCGGACATTAAGGGAGCTCCCCAAACTAATCAGTCAAGGGATACCAAAAGAAAAAAATCTTCAGTGCAGTGATTCCTGGACATGAGCCTATTGATTTGGCTCATCCCATGGGGAGCCTGAAATGTTTATTTGAATTCATTAGCTCAGACCCAGAAATTCTCACATTCACACAGTTAAGATATATGTGAACATCTTTCTTCTCACTGGTGAATGTTATGCCCAGCAATGGAACAAGGCAAACAGCAGATCCTCCCCTTTGAACAGAGAGGATCTGATTCAGAAGGACACCTTGATGAAGCAGTACTGGTATGTTTTATTTAGGGAGGGCGAAGTTATAATCACATTTATACTGATCCAGAACCTGCAATATCCGGAGGAATAAACAAATGAAAAAATTCCACAAATCACCTATTTTATTACACCTCCACAAGCCAGTAAAAGCTGAAATATCTGGTTAAAAGCACATCTTTCTCCTTAAGAAGTAAAAAGGTTATAATTACAGAGCAGCCTTATTTGAAACCAAGCCCATAGGAATGAAGAGAATTGATTCTTGTTAAGTTGTATAGTATTTAGGTTTTAAGGTTCAACTGTAATTCTAAATATTCTCCATGGACTAACTATTGAGCCATTTGGTGCTTAGGATCTCAACCATCTCAATAATTTTGATAAATTCCTTATTTTTGAACTTTTAAGGGGTTTTTTGTATGAATACATGCATCCATTGTGACACAAAAGCTTTGCACAACTTTAAAAAAATAACTGTTGACTCTCCATTGACATATGAAAGGAATTGTTCCTGCATGAGATAGTTGCAACAGCACCAATATTTTAATATCATGGATGAGAAAATAAGTTCCAAACGACTTGCTTGGCCAAAAGACTTCTCTCTATTACATTTCTGTTATCCCCATTTCCCCAGAGCTTCCAAAGAAATTTAAGCACTGAAAGAGTCTATGCCTACCTATCTTCAGTTCCATAAAACATATTTCCAAAATCTTATTAGAAATAAGCACAAAAATGTTGCTTTTGGTAAATATTAGAAATTGCTTTAAAAATAGCATATTGGAAGGAGAAAAACATGTAACAGATGAATTAAAAGCAGATAATTAAGGAAACTGTGCTTGTATCTTTGAAAGAATGTCTCCATAGTAATATCAAATGCGTCCATCTGTTTTTGGTATTTTTCTCCTCTCAGACATAGGAAGAGAGAAAGACACATACACAGATGATTCAGAACATGGGAATTACGATTCTCGTACAGATCAGTCTCTGCTTATTAAAAATACGCCTACGAAACAGAAACCAGAGCCTCGGACTAAGTCATCATTGAAGGTAACAGTTGTTACAATATATTGGTATTCTAGTGGTTCGTTTTAAAAACATGCACAGGTAGATTAATTACAGAACTATAATGCAGATTAAATGGTCGTAACATAAAGGAAAGACAAATCTATATGGACCAAAGAAATGGAATACAAATACAAAGTGTCAGCACATCAGTGCTCTCTCACCTGGCTCCCTCTAGATTTGGTCTCATTTTCTGTGTCAGCTGAGCATTTTATCACTTGTTATATAGCCCCCTAGCCTTTAGATTGTCAGAACTTACGATCTGTATCACACACTGGCTGAATTTGCACAACACAACAAGCCATCCTGGTGAGAACCCATAGCTGATGTCTTGTTTTCTGGAGTACCCATGATGAGCACAACCGATCCTGAGGCTCATGTGGGGTACTTCATGTCCTCCATCTCCTTCATTCCTCAGGCCATGTTCCAACCACGAGGAGCAACAAACGTCTTCTTTCGCACAAGCTTGCCACAACCATCAGGGAGTGATGACCAGCTTATTATACAAGCTGGTCTTGTGTCCTGAAGCATGGGGAGATTAACATTAAGCCCCCTTTGGGACAACATGCAGGGGCCTGCCCACTGCCCCAGCAGCAGGCTTTCCCTCCATGTTGCCCTAGCTGTGGCTGGAAGTAGACTCCACTGCTTCTCAGGATATAAGCCCAGTTTGTGCTACAGGGATCAATAACCGTGTTGATGATCTTATCAAGAGCAGCAAATGATTTTTCTCACTTTCTCAAAGCAGCTAGTTGGCCACTGGAGGTTCACTCAAGGTGAGTCATGCCTCCTTGGTTTGAAAGACAAGACAGCCCATCATGGTTTGCAACAACCTTAGAATACTCCATGAGCCATCAGGGTAGGTTGCTTGGAAAAACACAGTCTATCCTGGGAGACCTCAGTAGTGTTCTACCTATGATAACAAACCATGATTGGTTTGTCATCCACACCAAGTCAGTAATTGATTGTAGCTAGGAAAAATGTTCTAATCCAGTTTTTCCTCCATAGATTTTTTTACTCTGGCCTGGTGTTTTGCCTGGACTTGCCTTGCCTTTTTACTTTTTCCTTAGCATTGCTTTTATTGTAGCCTGCTCCAGCCTTCCACTCATCCTTCTTTTACAATTAAGTATTGATCCTCTGCCATTATTAGTTGTTTGATGCTCATGTTTCTATATCAATAAATCTGAAGACCAATTTACATGAAATTGCAGATAGAGGGTTATATTTAGCTGCTTGGATATACTGATGGTCTAAAGTGTGCTGAGGACAGAACAAGTACAACTTTGGAGGGCATTGGTGGGGAAGCCTTGCTTAGATAAAAGAATGTTGATCTTTCATCCACATGATTTGCTTATGTTCTCACCAGGGCAACTCCTGTTTGTCTCACCTGTTCTCTTGCATTAGGTTTCCCAGAGTGTCCCCTTTATGAAAGGGCACACCAACATACAGAGTCTTTGTATCTGGACTGTTAGTTGAATCAATGAACCATAGCCAGAAAATTATTTTTCAAACTATGTATATGAGCCATGAGCTAACTCGCTCTGGGTTTCTTTTTTCACATTCATTGTACTTTGGTTGATATTTTGGTTTTATGATTAATTTACTGCAGCAAAAAGAGGAAAGCTTCTTCTGCCTTGTTAAACACTAATACATTTATTCTAACCTACCCTTCATCAGAGGTATTGAGATACAACTCATGAAGTGGGCTATAGACTATGAAAACTTAATGGGACAATAATTCCATTGGTTTTTAAGGTGCCCCTAGACTTTTTGTTGCTTTTATGATGTTATTGTCATTTTAATTGTTGTAAGTCACATGTCTTTGGCTGATGAGTTAAAAATCATCACACACACAAATAATTCTTAGCCAAACCAGTGAACCTAATTGCCTGTAACATTCCATTTTATCTTATCACCATTCTGTATCATCTATTAAGTGAGGCTCTCTCAATTGTTTATGTAAGTTAAAACCTTAAAAAGTAAATATACAAAGATATACATACAGCATGCATAGCAACACACATATGTCTACATTTTTAATAATCCCAAAGAAAAATTCAAGACTTACTTTAATCCCCATTGCATGCCACCAACTGGCATAGTAGGAGAGATGTTATGCATTTATTTATTTATTTATTTATTTATTGTTTGATTTATATCCTGCCTTTTTCCTACAAAGGGCTCAAGGCAGCTTACATCTCCTCTTCCATCTTATCCCCACAACAACAACCCTGTGAGGTAGCTTGGGCTGAGAGTCTGTGACTGGCCCAAAGTCACCCAGTTGGCTCCATGGCTGAGCAGGGGCTAGAACCCAGGACGTCTGAATCCCAGTCCCATGCTCTTAACCACTACGCCACACTGGCTCAATATCAATACAAATTATGGGAATTGGGCTGAGGCAGGCAACTTGGTGTCCTTTGACTGTTTTAGACTACAGTTCCCACAGACTGAGCCAGCATGGTCAGTGGTCAGTGAGTATAGCAGTTATAATTGAAGACATTTGGAATGCATGTCTACCTGTAATCTCCATGCCAGTTTTAGCTGTACCAAATAAAATATGGCAAAGTGATATTCCACACAGGTCCCTAGGTGACAAGATGTACTGGTAAAGAACAACAGAACTTCCACTGCAAAGCATATGTATGGAATCATCACTTGAGCAAAATGGCAGTGTTTGTGCCTATAGGAAGGTGCATGATCTATTTATTCCTGAATACCATTGGTTGCCACATGAGGATTATGTGCAGGAGTGTGCCAACATTTGAGTGTCTTTAGACATTGGACTGAAGTGAGGAAAATAGATGTGTGGACATTCAAATTTCATATGTATCAAGGTCCTGAAGATCACACTACCTATAGAATTTTAGTGATGGCCACATTCTAACTTGTATGGATGCAGGATATGCAACTGAAAGAGATCGGTGTTTCCATATTGTCGGCACTGAATATGGAGCAGCTCCCTTTTCATTTGCAGACTTAGTGCTGTAACCTGCACAGTGAGTTTAGGGCAGGGGCATGGGGGCTCTTTTCTCATGTGGGGTCCATGCTAGAGATGGGTGGGCCTATATCCAAATGTGGGTGAGAATGACACTTCTCTGCCCCACCCCTACTTCTCTTCCTCTTTAATTCTTTTGTGCCAGCCAGTGGGCTGATGGGAGTCAGGCAGATCATTCTTGCCCAAGCTTTGAAATGATTACTTGCAAAGGCTTTTGAAATTAGGTCAAGGTTACCCAGGGGGCCAAGGTGGTTATCCTTTCTGAAAGAGGGGAATGGAGCAGAGGTGGGTATGGATTAACTGCAATGCTTGGTTAAGCTCAAGGTTGGTGTCGCTGTGCACCAGTCACTCCCAACCCGCCGAAGGGTTACTGAGTTACATGTCTTCACATTAGTTCACTAACAGCATGACGTTCCCTCTGGAAGCACAGGGGTGAACGGATTGTATAATTAAACTCCAAAGTTATAGAGATTTCTAATTTTGATTTACAGAGTGATCTTATGCCCACTAGACAGTGCAGAGAAGCCCATGGGATTTTTCCCAGCTCTGTGATTAAAAAAAAAAAAAGTTCTGTCCTTGGAACTAGGGAGCTGTGTGGAAAAAACTGCACTGACTGCTTTGTCAAGGCCATCAGACAAGCATGGGAAAGGAGATAAAGTGTGCAGGAGAGGGGGAATTAGAGATCCTTACCTATCCATTTGAAGTGCCAGGGCTGGATGGCCAAAACCATCCCCTAACTGATTAGCAAGGCCAGAACAGCAGCCTGCTCTTCCTACCCTGCATAGTGTGAACATTACTCTCCAAGTTCAGAAGTTTATGTGCATCTCCATTGGACTGAAGAGTTAGTGTCTCACAGAGTGAAGACTAGAAACTGGAATATGGGCAAAAAAGAAAAAGCAGTGAGGGTGTGTTGTATAGGAAACATTCTTGTTTGATGCTTTGTTTTTCCATTTGAATTAAAACCATATGCAGATAGTTGTAGAGGGAGCTACTAAAATGTGAACCGGGCATAGACCTTTGCAATTTACTTTCTGGAATCTTCTGTCAGACATCGTTCAGCATTATATTTATGAGTGTATCTTTGATCAAGGTTCCATGATGTAGCATAGTCTATACTGTGGTGTTTTTTTGGACAATGTTATAGAACAGGTTGTCTCTTTTTAAGACATCATCTTTAGAGTGATAACAGCATTATGCATTCATAAATCCACAGGTCCTATAAGTGCTTTGGAGTATATCTGAGCCATGTACTCTTCCCAATGTCTGTGCAATGTCAAATGTGTCCAATGTAATGGACATGCTCTCAAAATACGTGCTTTCAGGTTCAGGCTAAATGGACAAACACATCCATAGACTTCAGTTGACATGGTGCTATCTGACAAAGTGCATTCAAATTTTGGTGAGTTTAGACTAGGGGTGTGCAGATCAGAAGATCTCAAGTTCATTGAGGTTCTCTGAATTCTCTCCATTCAACGCTGATATTTTCAAATCTGAGTATGACTTTGAGGGATTTTTTGCTAAAAAATGTATGTATTTCTGTGCATGTTTCCCAAATGTATAAATCAACTGTATTCATGTTTATTTTTCTCCCATTTTAAAACCTTGTTTGTGCACATTTTTCTAATGTGCTTTTTTTGTTCAAATGAAATCTTTTTTGGTTTCCAAATTGCATCCGGACATGCAAATGTATGGACATTGAGCGGAGTCCATCTTTGAACTGGAAATGGTGAAATGGTTCCACATTTAGGTGCAGGATGTACAAACTGGGTAAACTGTATTTGAAATCAAACTTTTTCATACATTGCTCATTTAGTCAATAGAATTTATGTTAGTGAATATTCCATGAAATTACTTTCTAACTATAAGACATTGAGTCTAATTTCACATGTTAAAAGCATGAAATTTAGTTAGGAAGCATATCTTCCTTTTGTAAGCTCTTATAATCATTTAAGACTGGGCCAAAATTACAATCCACATTTACAGATGGAAAGTT